GTAAAATAGTGGTAAACTCCAGGGCTACCTCATAAAATTGTTGTGAGAATTACAATAAGTAAAATTTCTAAAGTGTTAGGAAGATGGGTTGAGACAAAGTAGATACAAGTACTTGATAAATAAAAGTGCTAACTAAAGGGATCAATTCCCTATGTTGACCTTATTTTTCATTAACATTTTATTATTATTACTGTATGTGACTCATTAACCAATACTTTCCATTCTGATGAAGAAATATTTAAGATGCTGTGGCCCCACAGACTGAATCTTTTCTACAGTATCTTTTAGAGTTATAATGGAATGACTAATTCATTTAAGAAATATCTGTTAGAGATACTTCTCCAAGGAGGACATACAGAGGGTGTAGAGACATATGAAAAGATGGTCAGTATCCCTAGCTATCAAAGAGATCTAAATTTACAGCACAATGAGATACCACCTCACACTGGTCAGAATGGCCATCATTAACAAAGCAACAAACAAGTGTTGGAGAGGTTTTAGAGAAAAGGGAACCCTAATGCATTGTTGGTGGGAATGTGAACTGGTGCAACCACTATGGAAATAAATCAGTATGGAATTTCCTCAGAAAACTAAAAATGGATCTGTCTTTTGACCCAGCAATTCCACTGCTAAGAACCCTAAAACACTAATCAAAAGAACCTATGCACCCCCGTGTTCATAGCAGCACAATTTACAATAGCCAAGTGCTGGAAGCAACCTAAGTGCTCATCAGTAAATGAGTGGATCAAAAAAACTATGGTACATTTACACTATGGAATTCTATGCGGCAGAAATAAAGAAGGAGCTCCTACCCTTTGTGACAGCATAGATGGAACTGCAAAGCATTATGCTAAGCGAAATAAGCCAGGCAGTGAAAGACAAGTGCCATGTGCTCTCACCTTTAACAGGAACCTAATGAACAAAACAAACAAGCAAGCAAAATATAACCAAAGACACTGAAATTGGGAACAGGCTGACAGTGACCTGAGGGGAGAGGGGAGGGAATTTCAGGGGAGAAGGGTGAAGGGTTTGCAGGAACAATTATAAAGGACACATGGATAATAACAACGGAGAGTGGAAACAGGGGAGGGAGGTGGGTAAGGCTGGGGTGTTGGGCTGGGGTGGGGGGAAAAGGCATAAAACTGTACTTGAACAACAACAAAAAAGAAAAAATATCTGTTAGGATTCAACACAATTCCTATCAATATACCAATGGCATAATTCACAGAACTAGAACAAACAATCCAAAATTTATATGAAAACACAAAAGACCCCAATTAACAACAGAAATCTTGAAAAAGAACACAGTGGGAGGTATCACACTACCTGATATCAAACTATACTACAAGGCTATAGCAATCAAAACAGCATGGTACTGACATAAAAACAGACACATAGATCAATGAAAAACAATAGAGAGTCCAGAAATAAACCCACAACTATATAGTCAATTAATCTATGACTAAGGAAGCAAGAAAATAAAGCAGGGTAAAGACAGTCTATTTAATAAATGATTGTGGGAAAATTAGACAGATAAATGCAAAAGGGACTGGTGAGGGACCAGCCCCTTCCGCTTCTGTACCCCTCCTACCAGCAACTATTCTGAGAAGGCAAGGATGGATGTGGTTTCTTTAATTCCATAGTTCTCAGACTTCCAACTCAATTTCTGATGGTTCTGAGTGATGGTTGTTCTATACTTTAATTGTAATTTTGATGTGGTCGTGTGAAGAGGCGAGCCATGACTGCTTATGCTGCCATCTTGATTAGAAGTATGGGTGGCTATTTAAAATTTCATATTTAAAGCACTTATACTTTGCTGATCACTTAGCCTAACAGTTTGAACTGATTAAATTCCACAACATACTCTATATTTATGGGAAGAAAAACCCTGCCATTATTATACTAAAACATGTTATTCTGTATCTTTAATGTTATTATTTCTATATTTCAGTATCAAAATTTTAATATGTCAATCATTTTTTCTTTAAAAAATGGTTTAGTTTAGGTGTATATTATCAAAAAATTACATACTTATAATTTGCAGGTGTCCATTCACAAAAGCCATTGAATAGAAATGAGAGGGGAAGAAAAACTAAAAATTAAGCATTTAAAAATGCAATATGCTCTAATAAACTTTAATTAGTGTATATGAAACACTGTGTGACCAGCACTGTTCTGAGTACTTTGAGGAATAAGCCTACAGGCATAAAAACATGCACAGATGTAGAGGAAAGTAAATTAATCTACAAGAAACAACTACAGAACAGAAGATTATCAACTTTGAAAGAACAAAATGTTTATTTTTAAATAATTAGCTCCAAATTCTTTTATTTATTTCCCTTCCCTCCTTTCTCCCCTTCTTTTCTTCCTTCAAGGGAAAAGGAGAGAATTACTTACAAAGGAGTTCCCATAAGACTGCCAGCTGATTTTTCAAAAGAAACCTTGCAGGCAAGGAGGAGCTAGAAAAAAGTATTCAAAGTCATGAAAGGCAAGGACTTACAACCAAGATTACTCTATCCAGCAAAGCTATCATTTAGAATGGAAGGGCAGATGAAGTGCTTCCCAGATAAGGTCAAGTTAAAGGAGGTCATCATCACCAAGCCGTTAGTATATGAAATGTTAAAGGGACTTTTCTTATTTAAGAAAAAGAAGATCAAAACCATGAACAGTAAAATGACAACAAACTCATAGCTATTCACAACTTAATCTAAAACAAAAACAAACTATGCAAACTAGAATAGGAACATCATAGAAATGGAGAGTCACCAGCTGGGAGGGGGGAGGTTAGGGGGAAAGGTACAGGGAATAAGAAGCATAAATGGTAGGGACCAAATAGACAGGGGGAGGTTAAGAATAGTATCAGAAATGGAGAAGGTAAAGAACCTACATGTATGACCCAGGGACATGAACTAAGGAGGGGGATGCTGGAGAGAATAGGGGCACTGGGAGGAAGGGAATAAAGGGGAGGGAAAAGGGGACAACTGTAATAGCATAATCAATAAAATATACTTAAAATTTGTTTAAAGAAAGAAATAGGAAAAAAGACTTTTTATATTTAATGTTTGGCATTTTAATTATGATGTGTCTCCTGGTGTGGTCCTCTTTGGGTCCAACTTGTTTGGGACTCTCTGTGCTTTCTGGCCTTGTATGTCTATTTCCTTTGCAAAATTAGGGAAGTTTTCTTTCATTATTTTTCAACTAAGTTTTCAATTTCTTGCTCCTCCTCTTCTCCTTCTGGCATTCTTATGATTTGGATGTTGGTGCATTTGGAGTCTTCTTAGACTGGTCCCAGAGTCTTCTTATTCTCTCCTCATTTTTTTAAATTCTTGTTCTTCAAGAATTATGTAGTGGTTGACTGTTTATTTCTTCCTTATGTTCAAAATTGTTGATTTGACCTCTGGCTTTGTTCCCTGTTGGTTCCCTGTGGGTTTGTCTTTATTTTACTTAGTGCAGCTTTCATTTCTTCCTTTATGCATTTGCCATACACATTGAGATCTCTAAGCATCCTTATCATCACTGTTTTGAACTCTGCACCCGATAGGTTGGCTATCTCCACTTCACTTAATTCTTTATTGGACTTTCGATACATTCTTTCATTTGGGCCATGTTTCTTTGTCTCCTCAATTTGGCAGTCTCCCTGTGTTTGTTTCTGTGTATTGAGTAGAGCTGCATTAACTCCATCTTGATCTGAACAAGTCTTTTGGATGCCAGTATTGCTTAGGTTTACTCCATTATCCCCTATCACACTTTGTTGAGGGCCCAGAAAAGTCTTGAGGAAGAAAAGTCATCTGTATTAAGTCTATGCCTTTACATTTGTGTCAGTTATATGAGAAAACTGTGGCAAAGCAAATATAGAAATGATAATTTTTTTAATAGAAAACAGATTAGTGATTTCCCAGGGGTTGGGGACAAGGGGGAGGTGTGTGTGGTTATAAAAATATCTCTTTATTTAAAAAATATATATATATAGAGAGAGATTTTTATTGATTTTCTAGGGGCAATAGAAATTCCCCTAAAAAACTCAGAGTTAATATTATTTCTAAACATTCTTGACCTGTCTATATGTACTTAATTTTTTAAATTCCATGTTACTTTAAATGTTTTAAATATTATGTCCTATAAATTGAAGGTTTTTCATGACACAGCAGTGATAAAATGCTATCTTATTTTGAGTTCAGATGGTGGTGGGATAATGCTTAGTGAGAGAGAGTGCCCCCATTATTTTATCTTTATGTTAATAGACAAGTGTATCACACACACACACACACACACACACACTCACACACTCTTCCTCTCTATAGTCTCTATTAGTTCAGGCTGAGGGTGAAATGAGAACACCGTAAGGATTTTTCGAAACTAGGTCTTTATCGACTTTGAATGTCCTGGACACTATCCAAGCACATCATTGCTCTTTCAGCAAAGCCAAACCAAAACCAATGTGTCGGCCGCTCTGGAATTCCTCTGCCGTGAAGAAGTCCACGAAGGCTGGGTGCCCTGCACAGGCGCCCAGGTAAAACGCGTCTGATTAGGGTAAGTTCGCATTCACGTAAAAGAGCTTCCAGGCAAGTCCTTTGGCTTTGCCTTCTAAGCAGTCACTTGCCTGGTGGCGCTGAGACGGAAACAGGGACGTCGGGCCTGTCACACGCCACGCGGGTCACTGAGCATCGCCCTCTCCGCCTCCCTCCCCGAGGCCCGTTAAAGAGTCTGTCCGCGCGTCCAGGTGAGTCCGAGGAGTTTGGGGCCGCCCTCCAGCCCCCACCGTCCTCCTTCCCCAAGCTCAGCCGGCAGGGAAGGGGATGGGAAAGGAGACCCGGGCAAGGACGGGGTTGAGGCGGGGAGGCGGGGACCCGGGGACTCGGGCGGCGAGAGGCCAGAGGGCCCCTGGCAGCGACTGGCCGGCACGCGGCTGACGCGAGGCGGGATGGAGGTCTCGGGGCCCGAGGGCTCCGGGCGGCACAGCCCCGCAGGTCAGGGCGGCGCGGGCTCAGCGGGGAGCTCACCGGCATTCTGCAGGGTCTCGATGTTCTTGGGCCTGGTCGCCAGCTCCGCCACCGTCTGCACGAACTGGGTCCGGGCTTTCTGGTACTGCTCGAACACTGCGGGGAGAGGCACCGTGACGCCGCCGCCCCGCGGCCCCGCTCCCGCCGCAGGCCTGGGGCGCTGGCCCAGCCCCTACCTTGCAGCACATGCTTCTGACTCATGGCGTCCGCGGCTCTGCGCCCCGCCAAGGCCCCGTCGGCGTCTGTTGCCAGTCCTCTCTGTGTATCCGCGTCTCCTGGTCAACACACCGGAACCGGAACGCGGCCGTTTTGCTGCAACGGCCAGTCCCCGGAGTGACGTTACGGCCGAGGGCCCCGCGCCCGCGACCAAGGCCAAGTGCGGGGTGGCCTCCGCGGGCGGGAGTCGCGCCTCCGAGCGTCTCCACCCGCGTGCGGGGCGCGTTGCCCGGACGAGAGCAAGCTCTGCGCAAACCATCCCCAGACCCGCGTGGCAGCCTGGCCGCACGCGCGACTCCTCGGGCCAGGAAGCCCGACCGCCAGGGAGAACCGCTGTGAGCGCTGGGAGGCCAGGAGACAAGGCCTCGCGTGGCATGGTGTAATCTGATAAATATGTCATTGTCAATGCAGCCTTGAAGTCAAACCCCTTCAGGCCAGTTTTTATGTACCTGACATTTCAGTTTTCAGAATTCCTGGTGGGTCGAGACGATGATGTTCGTACACTTAATTCTGTTGTATTGCAAGCATTTGGTAAGCACTCCTAAATATTCGAGGAGAAAAGCAGATGAGAACAGTGTGATCGATGTCCCTGCCTTCCACGACTTTCTCCTACTCCTACTAGCTTTTCTGTTTTCTCACTTTTGTGTGATTTTTAAACACTTAGGCTTTGTCTTTTACATTTAGGCTTCATTTGTTGCTGAATGTAGAGGGAGGGAGGGGAGAGAGAGAAAATGAGAACGAGAAACTTAATTCCAATGATCTTAACCAGACTTCTCTAGCTTGAGCCACTTTAACTCTTTACAAAGTCTCTTTTAACAAAAACTGGATACTTAGTCTATTACTACTTTCTAGCTTCTCTAAAAACTGTAGACCACATGTTTCTATCACAGGTGTCAACTGAAGATGTTTCTCCATCAGAAACTGCAGTTGCACCAGGTGTCAAGTGAGCAGATAGCCACAGCTGCCGCAGAGTAGCGCCAAGGCAGGAAACCTCTTGATATCCCTTCTTCAACAGAGGGACCCGTGCCAACGTGGTTGGATCTGCGAGGTCTGGTTCCGACTTGCGCTCTCTGGTGAAGTCCAGGGATTGTGTGGAGCCCGGAACAGCTGGGAATGAAGACCAGCAGTCAGAGACAGCAGCAAGCGTCTGCACTCAGACAGGTGCCTGTTTTTTGCTCTGCACTTCAGGAGCCAGTGATACCCACAACCCCTTTACTTAACTCTAAGGCATAAGTTTCACTAAGGAAACAGATCCTTTAAAATGAAAGCCTTTAACCGTGACCGGGGCGGCTCAGTGAGTTGAGCGCCAGCCTGTGAATGGAAAGCTTGTCTGTACAATTCCTGAGATTAGGGCACATGCCTAGGTTGTGGGCCAGGTCCCCGGTTGGGGGCGTGCAGAAACCGATCCATGTCTTAAGTGTTAAGTTTCTTTTAGTTTAAGGTCAATAAAATATTAAGATGACAGTGATTTAGCTGGCCCCAAAGTTCTAAAGATGCACCTGTAACTTTTCCACTAATGCAGTGGAGGCAGAGATTTCTCCTAAAGTAAAACCATCGTTAGGTGGGCTGCATACCAGACTAGTCGTGTCTCCAAGGCACCATATAGCACAAAGTGATTGATACTTAAAATTGATGCTTCGACTGTAGAAGTCTGTAATACAGCACGACATAGTCTAAAACAATGAGCCATGCATAAAAAATCATGTTAAGGCTGCTTGTTGCGTGTGTTTGTTTCATCTTACTGAAGACTTACATGGGTGTTCTTTAAAAACTGTTCCCGAACCCCTACCCCCCGCAGAAATCCGTAAGCGCCCCTTTAAAATCTCGGCGTCGTTGAACTTCTCCCGGAGGAGGTAGGTGTTACTGCTTGCCCACATTTTTGTTAGTACAGGACACGAGACAAAGACGGGAGGTGGCACCGGTGGAGAGACCTCGGGGGCCCACTGCGCCCGCTCGGAGCCACGAGGCGGGAGGACGCAGCTCGCGCCTCCTGTAGGTGCCGTTACTGCCGACGCTTCTGCGAAGCTGGACACGGGAGTGTCCCTGCGCGGCGCTGGCCAGGCGGAGACGCCTGCGTTGGGTGTGGGCGGGTTTGTTGGGGCTGGAGAAGAGGGAAGGATGTAGACGTCCCCCACCTCCAAGGCTTTTCCTAGGTCCCTAAGTTTCTAGAAGGCCAACGAGCCCCTCCGCGCACTCTCCACGCTGTTTCTAACGAGGAAGAGGCGCCAGGTGTCTATTGGCGGCGGTCGGGCTGTCGTTCCGCGTAGAGCCAGCCCAGCGCGGCCCCCGCCGGGAGTCCCCGGGCCGGGGCCTAAAGGGGGTGCGGGTGCGAGGGCCGGCGGTGAGGCGGGAGTGCAGAAGAGAGGCTCGGGCTCCCCGGCGGCGGGCTCCGGAGCACAGGCCCGGGTGGGGGAGATCCCTCTCTCCAGCTTCCTCGCAGCCCCACGGGCACCAGTGTGAGGACTGGGACCTAGGGGCTCTGGGTCTCGCAGAGCCGGCTTCGGCAGAGTGGGGCTGAAGGGTCGGGGAGGAGAGATGGACGAGGCCTCTCTTCTTTGGCTTTGCTGCCAGGGCCGAGCCTCCAGCCCTGCAGTGCGGGCTCTCCCGGACGGGTCCTGCTTGAACTTGCTTGTGAACCCCTGGGCTCGGGGGTTCCGAGAGAACCCCTGGGTAGCCGAGAACCGAGGCCTCGAAGCGCCCGCGGACCTGGAACAGCTCACCGCGGCCGGCCGCTGGGCTTCCCGCTCACGTTCTGCCCTGGGGACTTACAGAGTCCTGTTTGGGAAGAGAGGGTGTGGGGTCTCCAGACTCCTGGTGACCGAAATGGGGTGCAGGAACCCTGCCCCATCTTCCATCAGCCCGCTCCTTAGACCCTGGATCACGATGCAGGGCACCGATGACGTTTTACTGATCTGTACACTTGAAACCCTTATGGTCTGGCGAACCCGTGTCACCCCAATAAATTCAATTTTTTTTTTTTAAAGATGTAAACGGTGTCGGGGGGAAAAAAAGGATATTTCAAGATGCATTGCCTTAGTAGTTTTGCAATATCCAATACTAGCCCCGAAGCGTTCCTGGTGAACTATAAAGATAGGTAATGCCAGTCTGTGCTCTGTGAAAGTGTGCAGTGATTTTAAAATCGCACCTTCCCCACGGCTACTGAATCAGTGTTCAGACACTATTGGTGGGAAAATAGCAAAGCTACAACTTCTTACGTACGATTTATCATTCTCCTTAGAATTCTGGAAACATCTGTCAGGTATTTTCAGTACAATTCCACATTTGAAATATAATTAGGTAAAAAAAACAAAACAAAACAGTGAATGAGGATATCTGATTAATGCCACTAGCCTGGAAAATGTTTAGCATTCCATTCAGTTCATTCAAGAAATCAAAGCTTTATATCTTAAAAGCTTTGTTTTTCTAATAGGGGCTGCTGAACTTCTGGAATCCTCTGGAAATTCAACAGTTTGCTGAGTTATGTTAAAAGGGCTCTGGGGCATACAAAGGTAAACAGATGCTTGACCTCAAGGAGCTTTGAACTTAGAAATTTCATCACAAATGAAACTTCAATCAAATCCATGGAAAACACTCAACTAACTTAGTAACTATTTAAAGCCAGGACAATTAAACTAAGAGCAAAGAAATTTAGCAGTGCATACATTTCCTGAGGAACTCAATAAGTAAAAGACTGCTAGATACTTTGGAAATTTTTCTTCAATAAGTTTAAAACAGTAACAAAAGTTCTATTAATAATCAGTCAGTGTCCTACAACCACAGAAAATAGAAAAGGCAGAAAAATCTGGAAAGATTAATGTCAGTCATTTTCTTTATGCATCAGACCACCCAGTCCACATGGCCAGTGGGTGATGTGGTTCGTCAAATGGAACGAGCCAATCACATCTGGATGACAAGTATGTGGGTATAACGTGTAAGCTAACAGGAGTGGTTATATTATGAATTTCGTGCAAAGTATTCGTGGCAGACAAAGACAGGAGACAGCAGTGGTTGCCTGTGGCTCTAAGCCAGAGGAAGGCCACCATTCCCGGGAGCAGACACTGCTGTAATAAGCTTTTGTTTTTGTCCATATTACTAGAAAGGGAGTGGGCATCTGGTGTTGACTTCTTTCTTCACCGCCATCCTTATTTCTGATGTCAAGAAAAGCTTTCTAATAAAGTGGCCAACGACAAAGAATTCCAGCTCAAGGTGGAGAAGAGGGCGTGTGGGTTGGGACTAAGCAAGGCACCTCTGTGAAATTTATTTAAGTTAACATGCTAAGAATATCACATTTTTTTGTGATTGCTTTCATGGACCAACTTGGAATCTATGGTCTTAGTAAATGAAGCATACTATGTAAAATAAACTATTAACATTCAAAATTATATTGTCGTTAGAATATATATAGTAATTGAAGCCATGGGTATAGAAGAGATTGCTTTGAAAAGCTATGTATAAGGGAAAACGGGGGGGACTTGGAGAATAGGTACATTGAAGTAGCATGTAAGTGAAGCCTGTGAAGGTGAGCAGTGGCAGTAAATAAACCTGAGTATTTGCAGAACTGCCTGACCCAATGAGCCCTATGAGGGATCCCATCTGCCTTTCTTTTCTGTTACAGCAACACCTACCCCAATGCCAGGCTGGTAGGTGCATACATAATTTCCTACACACCGTTGAATGTGGGCAGGGCAGGAAAGCTGCAAGTGCCGGTGACTATGGCAGCTGGATGACTGGAGGTGTGTGCCAGCAGGATGGCGGGCAGTGAGTGAAGAGTGAGTAGGGCGTGAGAAAGAGAAGACAGCAACGGAGGGCGTCTCGTCCCAAACATTTGGCTTGGAAGAGAGATGTGGTGGTAGTTAGAGGGAGATAGAATACTAGGGTTTTTTATTTTAGGATGAAAAAAGGGAGCATATTTATATGTTAAAGAGTAAGAAGTAATGAGTAAAAAAAGGATGAAGTTAGAGGAGAAGGGAGAATGACGGAGGGAGGCCCCCAAGAAGGCAGAGGTGGGGTGCACTCCAGA